CAAATCCATCAGAAGTGATTTCCACTACAGCTAACAAAAGAATGAAGTGGGAGCAAAAAGAAAGGATAAAATACTTCTGAGGATGCCAGTCTACATTTTTACCTCCCACCCCCCACATGAATTCTAAAACTTTAAAATGTGGTAAAAAGGCCCCCAAAAACCTGATAAACGCATCTACTTTCTGCTAGGTTTAACATTAGTCCAACTGAACTAGTGACTTGTTTGGCAAGTTTCTAACACTTCCCCACATTCTGTCTGTTCTTCTTAAGCTGTTTCCTACATTCCCTCACAGCCTGTTTCAAAGTCGAGCCTTTTCTTGTTTTGATCAGGAAGAACCTGATCCCAGGTTGAGCTTACAGGGCCAGCAGGTAAAAAAAAAAAAAAAAAAAAGTTAACTTTTATTTGCAAACTGAGCACACTGTTGTGATGGGTGTCCTCATTTTTAAGTAGCATTGGAGTGATGTTGTAGCTGTGATGGTCCAGGAAGTGAGAGGCAAGGATTTTTTGTGGGCAGTATATTTTACTGGACCAGCGACATAGCTGTAATAAACTTAGACAAACTTTCAAAAGTAATGCATTCATATCACCCACAAAAATCCATGCCATTTTTACTTTCCAGAGAACCACAAACTAATGTAATTAAGAGTATTGAAGATGTTAAGGTCAGGCCCAACAAATGTTGTCAGTTCTCCTTGCACACCTCATCTGAAACGCAAGTGTTTAGCAAAAACAGCTTTAAAAAGGTATGAAATTGGTATACAGAAAAACAAGGTGCCAACAGTAATTTGCATAGGCAGCCAAATGTTTCTCCAGAAAAGTCTGCTAACAAATCAAGTGTATACCTCTCCTATTTCAGTTTTGGATGTAAAACACTACTGTAAAGCTTTAATTTAAACAAAATGAGAAAAATGAAACTAATTTTCACTTGTAATAAACCACAATGAACACTATGAGTAAACAAACATTTGGGGTAAAGGAAAAAAAGAGGAGAAAAAAGAAGTAAGAATGTTTGGGAAGAAGCCCTTTTGGAGCTCTTGCTCTAGAGCATTGTGGACTAAACATTATAAAGTGGATTCACAACTAGTTATGAAACCTGACATGTTGTAATGGCTCTGTGTCAGTACAAAAGAAACCTATTGTGATGCAGCATTTTCATTTAGCCAAAAAATGTAGTAAGTAATAAGTATGCCAGTATTGTATGTAAATGATACAAAGACAGAAAGCATCAACTACATGTGTGTGCATGCGCTATAAATTAGTAGTGCACCGATAAAGCCTTTTTTGGTTGATACTGATGGCTGATACTGATCTGATTGCCGATATGCAGCCCGGCAGCTTGGAGAGCAGCTTCCGGCTGGTAAGTGTGTGGGAGGGGAGGGGCATGGGGAGGGGAGCAGATGGAGGTCCCTATGGTGAGGGAGGGAATGGGGCTGGTGCAGGGGCAAGCGCTGCCCAGCCAGGGCAGGGCACAGGATGGACCTGCAAATGGCTTGTCTGGGGGGACATGGTGGAGGGGGAGATCCCTGTGCTAAACGCACCCTGGAGGAGACATAGGGGGCATGTGTCCCCCAGATTTGTGCATGGGGTGAGGGTGGGCTGCCTGATGTGGCCTCTTCCGGGGGGG